TACACTACCTTACGTTACACTACACTAGGCTACACTACACTACACCACACTACAGTACACAACACTACGGTACACTACAATACAATACCAATAACAATACCAATACCAATACCAATACCATACAATACAATACAAATACAATACGATACAACATAATACTATACAATACAATACACGAATTACACCACAACTACAACTACAACTACAACTGCAACTACACTATACTTATTACACATTACAGCTACAACTCCACTACACCACACCACAACTACAATTACAACTGCGCTATACCACACTACATCCAGCAGCTGTGGGTGAGGTGACCACTGCAACCATTGCAACCACTCCAAAAAACAGAACTTCAACCACCTTTCGGTCCATCAGTGGATTCGCTCTGCCATCCGTGATTCACAACAACCAACCTCTCCTATAGGTTTCCTATTTTTGAGACTTTCGCCACCGCCTTGCGCGGTACTACTGGTATTTACATATATTTTTTCGTTTATGCATACGTCAGAACCTATGTTGCAGGAGCACGCGAAGTCACAAAGCTTGACTTCGCTGAGTTTGAAACCAGTGCCGAAGGCACGCAAGTACTGGATGTCGCGCGGCTTCAAGCCGTTCAAGCAGTGCAAAGGGATGCTCAAGATGGACATTACCAATAGCTCTGGTTAGGCTAAATCGCATCTATTAGGTTATTTCAATTTTTAAAGTTATTTTCTATGTATTAGGTTTTTTCATTTCTGACTATTAGGTTGTTTGTCTGTTTGCCTGCATAGTTTTTTTCAGCCGAATAGCCTAACAACTGTCTTGTTCGAGACTTTGTTTTTCTTTCACCAAACTATATTTTCAACAGTTGAAACTAAAGACACAGTTTTTTCCATATTTGTTTCCTTTTGGAATTTGGAAGTACATGTTTTGTTTGGCAAATAATTTCAAATGTTTCTTCATTGTCTTGTGAGTGATGTATGTCGCTTTCTTTTGATATATGCGGGTCTGAAGTGATTTTTTGTGCAAAAACGAAGCCTTTTTTTTCTAAAGTGAATCTGTAAATTTCAGTCGGATATGTTTTAGATGGGGCAAGCCAACACAGCATGGAAACAACAAAAACAACAAAAACACATGTCAAAAACAATATATGGGCAAATGGGTATGTCTCAAAATGAGGTATCCTTTTTTGACCCCAAAATGGTTACTTTAAAGGAAAAAAGGTCACCTCATTTTCAGACATACCCAAAGAAGAAAAAACATGTTTTGCAACAATGGCAATGGATAGTTGTTGGGAGCGCCAAGCCAGCACAGGATGAAAAACCAAAAACAAGAAGAAAAATGAAACCAACAAATGCAGCACAAAATAGTAAATAAAAAAATGTGACAACCATTGTCCAAAACCTAACTTGTCAGCTGCATCGTTTATGAAACTCAGAGGAGTTCATGTGAATTCGCGGGTGCTCATTGCTCATGGGTGTTCATGTGTGTTTTTCATTTTTTTCGGCTGCCACCCATTTGGCTTACTCAGTGGGTTTCCGCGCGCAAGAAGAAAAATCAATGTAATTTGCCGTGAGGTTCGCACGCAATTTTTGTGTATAAAATGGCTGCCCCAGCGCGCGAACCCAACCAAAAAAACAAGTTTAGCCACTTGCTGATTTGGTTGGTGGTTTTGTCTCATGCTTGCTATTTGGCTGCAAAACCTGTGTCTTGGTGACCAGATGGAAGTCCTTGAGTTATTGGTCAGCCTTGGACTAAGTTGTTATTTTTAAGATAAATTTGGGGCTAGAGAACCTCAAATCATTGGCAAACCCTGGCTTTGAAGGGCATTTTTTGAAATCAACTTGAACGTTGGCCAGCGACAAATTCATAAACAAAAACTGTCAAGACTGGAAGGTTTTTCACTTGTAAGAAAGTAGTGGCAAGCAAAAAATGTTTGAAGAATTGTTTGATGAGGATTGGTTGTATTCAAGTTTTTCTTGTGCAGCAACTAAACGGGGCAATCCAGCCCAGGCTTGATCAATCACTAAGGGGGTCTCCATCCCTCAAACCTTTTTACATCAAAACGCCTGCCCAAAGATTTGCAATCACTTGGGGCTCTCCATCCTTGGCCTTTCCCCCCATTGAAAAATCCAACAAAACCACCAAACAATGCAAATGACTTGAGGTGATCAGCATTCATGTCTTTGAGGCAAGTAAACCCCCTTCAACCAAACACTTTCTCGGAGAGATTTTCCCATGCACATGTGAAGGAATTTGATGACTGGAGGGCCCCAAGTCATTGCAAAACAATTGGATTAATTTTCAGGAAATGGATTGGCATGGGAAGGCCCAAGTGACTGATTAATTCTGGGTTGGATTGATTTGTTTTTGAAATAGGTTTGAGGAAGAAAAACAACGTAGTAATGGATGGGCTCTGGGATTGGCAACCTTTTCCTTCTTTTTGTAAACATGAATCTGAAAACTGCAAAACCCAAAAATTAAAGGCAAATTCCAGGTTTAACTGCTTAAAAAATGTGAATGCTGAACACCCCAAGTCATTGAGTTTTTTTAAAGTCGCATTTTTTGTGGCATAAATGTCAAGGATGGAGAGCCCCAAGTGATTGCAAGTCTTTGGGCACGCGTTTTGATGTAAAAAGGTTTGAGGGATGGAGACCCCCTTAGTGATTGATCAAGCCTGAGCTGGATTGCCCCGTTTAGTTGCTGCAAAAAAAACTTGAATACAACCAATCCTCACCAAGCAATTCTTCAAACATTTTTTGCTTGCCACTACTTTCTTCCAAGTGAAACACCTTCCAGTCTTGACAGCGTTTGTTTATAAAACTATTGCTGCCCAAACGAATTTCAAAAAAGACCCCTTCAAACCCTTAGATTGCCGAAAATTCAAGAAAGAAATCAGCCCAGGGCTGGGACCTCCATCTCAAGTTCATTCTTTTAATTTGAAAGAAAGTGGATGGCAGCAAAACAAAACGACAAACAAAAACACATTAACACCCATACACACGCATGAACAACCATGAACATCCATGGGCACCCATGAGCACTTGAGCGTGCATGAGCACCCATGAACTCACATGAATTCGTGTTTTTTTCCAAATACAATGCAGCTGGCAAATTACTTGTTCAGCCATATGTCACACAGTTTTTGAGCTCTTATTTTGGGCTGTTGGCTATGCGAATTTTTGATTCATTGTTCTTTTCTTGAACTGGATATTATTTCTATTTTTATGTTTTGTGTTTTTGTTGCTTTGTCCTGTGGTAGTTTCGCGTCTTGGACAAATCCTTTCTGATTTTTGCAAAACATAATTTTGATATATATATATGTGCGTATAAATATATGTAGATATATGTACATATGTATATATATATTTAAATATGTATATATATATATATGTACATATGTGTAAATATATATATGTGTGTGTAAACCTAATTATATATATATATAAATAAGTGTGTGTGGGGGCTGTCTCAAAATGAGGTGTCCTCTTTTCCTCTCAAAGAACCTTTTTAGGAACCAAAAAAGGACACCTCGTTTTGAGACATATCCATGTATATACAGTATATTTATTTTTTGACATGTGTTTTTTGTTTCTATCCTTTGTTTGTTTGTCCCATGCAAAATATATGTCTTCCGGTTTTCTTTTGTATGTAGTTTTTCAGCCTCATGTTTTCAGAAAAATGTATCAAATCAAAAAATGTTTCTTTGGAGATTACAATATAGATAGATATATTTTGTATATAAAGAAAACGAAGTTTCTCCAAGCAAAGGTACCAAAACAGGTTATTCATATAAATAACGTATAGGAAAAACATGTTTTTTTAATATATAGATAACCTACAGAAAAAAATATATGTTATTTTACCGTTCTGACTATTAGGTAAAACAGTTGTTTTACCTAATAGTTAAAAACAAAAATTAACTAATAGTCAGGAAACAAGATATAACTTAATAGGTAGAATTTAGCCTAACCAGAGCTATTGGGTTTGAGTTTTTGGGTTAGTACAATCCCCAATATATTGGTTAGTATAATCCCCAAAATTGGGTTTGAATATTGGCTATCCAAAATTTTGGGTTAGCATGTTCATCCAAAATGCACCACGTGAGTCTCACCACCGAACTTGTCGTGCGAGAAGCAGAGAAAACAAAGCGATGTAACATGATGTAACCATAAATTGGATTTAAAGAACAAATTAGGTGAATTTGACAACCAAGCAAAATGGAAAGTAATTGTAAGGTGGGGATTTAGATTAATTATTCTAAATCCAGTACCCAAGAAATCGTGTGGCAAACCCATTTTTCCGGCAACCAACAACCTGATTCGTGGGGACTTAAACCGATTTTTATTTCGACCCATTACCACGACTAGATCGCTTTGTCCCAGACTAGGGAATGCCTCAAAAATACAATTCCAGGAAATCATCCCAGAAAAAGGGACTGGTCATTGCAAAGTGGCAGAGGAAAATCCGGGCCCAACAAGAACAGAAATGACTTCATTGGCATCACTGAAACAATACATCCGTAGACCTGGCCCAAGGCCCAAAGTATCGCAAAGTAAACTGGCATACACATGGAAGCACCTTGAGCAACATTTTTAGGTGTAACAGTGGGATTACTAATTTCAATCATTTTGTGAATCTGAACAAAACTATGTCAAATTGTTTTGTTTTGTGTTGTTGTTATTGTTGCTAGTAATTGTGAGAGTTGTGTGGCCGTATGTGGCCAGGAGTTGAGAGAAAACCGTGTTTTGGAAGCACCTACATGCAAATACCATGGCAAAATCAATATCTGAATTGAAGTTTCGGGGGTTGGCTGTGTGCGCATGCCGCCATTCTGGGCAAGCCAAAGACCAGCCTGCGTCTCAGGAACAATTTTTCCCACGTTTGCACATCAGTTTTCTCGGCAGAACTGGTTCGGATGCGGGATGGCCAGCAGCCTCACCACCCGTTAGGATGAGAGCAGCGCAGTGCTGTTGGATGACTACGCGGTGGATCCAGACCAAAAGTCGCACATGACCCCAGCGGATCAATGTGATGCAGCCGAGAGCTGCACCTTCAATCTTCGCAGATTTCTAAATATTTCCAGGTCTCAATCTAGAAAAATTGGTTGCACCACAAATTTGAAGAAACGTGTTTTACATCGCTTTACCAATCACCAAGAGCAGTGTGACTTTCTTGCACCATCAAGGACCAGCTCCAAGCGCCCTCTTTTCCCAGCTGGTGAGCCGGAGAGAGCAAAGCGACCTCAGGCGAGAACAGAACAGGATCAGACGCAACAATGAACTGCAGGAACTCCGCATACATAGAATTCATGCTGAACATCATTCAGCCGCATTTCATAGAAAACCGATTGAAGACAGTTTCTACCAAACGTGTTTGAACCACCGACAGTGTCACACTGCATGCTCTGCAGAATCGGAACACGTTGCCCGCTGCGGTCATCAAGACAGACCCTCGAAAGGAGCGGGAGTTCTCGAACAGGCACCAACAGCAAGCGTAAACTTTGACCAATCCCGTTTGCGTTTCCATTGAATGCAATGCAACGTAATGCAACCGTTCTTTCGGCCAATTGTACATTTGGAATCTAGTACATTTGCTTGGAGAGTGCTGCAGCAGTGTTTGAAGAAGTAGTGCTAGTCATTTTTGTTGCACGCTCTGTAGTTTGTAGAGGGAGCAGGGTTGCTTTGTTACAGAACAACGGGCATCAACAGTGGGAGAAAACATAGATGAAGAACAGCGGAAAGGCAGAAGAGGCTATGACAAGAATTACCGTGAATAATCCCATGTTTGTCGCATGTTTGTCCCACACGCAGCTTTTGCTCAGGGTCCATGTATGACTTTAGAAGGTACATGTAGGACACGTGGACATTTTGTAGCAAGGGTTGCAATGTTGCAGACGTTTGCGTGCAGCGACAAATATGTTCAAATTCTGTTGCAGTATGATTTCCAGCTATGAGTTTGCTGCATTCTGTACAGCTATGAGTTCTCCAGGCACATCAATGACAAGCGCCTTGGAGCCAAATCCAGGGCAGAAATGCTGAGGCAGCAAATCCTCCGCGGTTCGCAGGACGACTTTAGACGCAAAGTTTTGACCATTTGATCCATTTGCCAGATGCAAAGTTTTGTTTTATGCATATCCAGTTTGTGTTGATCGCTTGCGCAGTGTTTCTCTGTCCAAGAAGGCATGCAACATTTCCAGAGCAATATGCACGGGGTGAGGATGACACTGTTCTCCGTGGAACCAGTGCTTTCCAGCAGCGCAGTGCACCAGGTCTGCATTGGGTTGTTGCTGACAGTCTTTAGATGCTCAGAGATCTCGTGTTTGTGTTGTAGTCGCAAGGCTACACAGATATGGACGACCTTCAACCAGAGGGGGTCCAAAGTGCCGGGCTCGTTCGTGCTCCAAAACAGATCCAGACGGAGTTTGTGCGTGGCAAGTTGCCAAACGGATAGACTGTTTTGAGGCCGACCGCGCCAGCCAGCGCAGTCATTCCCTCAGAATGGTTTGCACGTTGGAGTCAGCATTGACACATGGCGGATCAAGCATGTTTTTTTGGAGGTCATTTTGAACACCAACAAGTATTAAGAAGTGCGATTATCATTCACTACGGTTTGGAATCTTGGCAGTTTGTGGTGGTTGGCTCTGGTTTTAGATCAGAACGTCAATCCATCAACGACTTTGGTATTCCACATCTTCCCCGATGAAAAACGTGATAATGAATTCATCAATGGCAAATCATTGTTGTGCAGTTCTGCACATACCTTTCCATTTTTCGAAAGTGTTTTTATTTCCCCATAGTTCATTTTGTATAAATCACTGGCCGCAGTTTGCGCAGTCAACACTTGGTGCACCATAGTGCACCTCTTGTTCTCCCTCTGAAATGCAACGACGTGCAATGACTGCACTGCAAGGGTGCCTCCTGAGACCGTTCCACTTTGAGGCTGATGAAAGCGGCTCCGGAAGAGGATGACGCATCCGATTCTGATGGTGGCTCTTCAGATGCCTCCCAGGCCGGGAGAGGGTTCCCAAAAATGGAATGTTCTTCACTCACATTCACTCGCTCAGGCGCCTTTTTTCCAAATTTGTTTGGTTTGTGTTTGCCAGGACGCGAGTGGCCAAAGAAGGTCCGAGCACAAAGATGCAGTACATTGCAGTACCAAATGCATCCAAGTCCAGTGCCATGGTGAAATGTGAAAGCGGTGAACACTTTTTCCAGGGTGGCTTTTGGCCCGTTGCCAGAGAATGCGCCCAAGAGAAGACGCATAGCGCTTGGAGGCAGGAGATTTCTTTCCCGCAATATTTTCAGTGAAGCAAGATCAGGTCAGTACAAGCAGCAGAGCAACCTTGACATGGCTTGACTTAGTTTGAGGCAGTAGGATGTTTGTTTGATATTGCAGATTGTGAGGTGGTCACACTCCAGCTGCAAGTGGAGGCATCGCAAATTTCTTCATCACTTCCGAAAACGTTGCTTGTTTTCAAGAACCGACAGGCGATGTAGTCGTCGATTTCTTTTGAAAAAAATATATTTATATTATTGCAAGAACAATTAATGGCAACATATGGCAACATATATAATATATATATATTTGTATATATATATATATATAATAAATATATTTTCTAATTGTATTGAATATTTGTTCTCTATATGTGACGTCAGAGTTGAATTATAATGACAAAAATTCCCGTCATTAAAATTCTTTAACAAAAATTCTATATTCTTGCATTGTGATTATGATATCTCGTCACAAATTCTTGGAATATATTGGAATAAATTGGAATGTATTGGAATTATAATTGAATAGTGTTCTTTATTATTGATATATTATTGTTATTTTTGGGACGGTTATGTTTTATTTTTTTATTAAAATGTTGATTGTAGAAATAATTTATGCATATATATATTTAAATAATATATTTTAAAATTTCCTAAAATATATTTTATATATTGAAATATTTAGAATATAAATATATATATATTATATATAGGAAATAAAA